GCCTACGACCTCCACGAGTAATTTTTCAAAAATGTGCTCCTGAATTAAGTATCCTATTGGATAGGGGCTAAACCTGTCCTGCATTGGAATTTTTCTGATCATTCCCCTAGGAGGAGTTTGCAAGAACGTGCGTAAAATGGCTGAAAAAACGCACATTTTTCAAAATGGCCGACTTTATGGGGGGCGGGGCTAATGGAAGGCAATTTGAAATATGTGTGCAATCATAATAGCAATATGTATACAGCGTTTCGTGAATATCGGAAAAACTATATGCGACCAGTTTGGAGCAATTTGCGCCATGTGAATAGTCAAAAATGGTGTATTCGCTGTTAGCCTACGACCTCCACGAGTAATTTTTCAAAAATGTGCTCCTGAATTAAGTATCCTATTGGATAGGGGCTAAACGTGTCCTGCATTGGAATTTTTCTGATCATTCCCCTAGGAGGAGTTTGCAAGAACGTGCGTAAAATGGCTGAAAAACGCACATTTTTCAAAATGGCCCACTTTCTGGGGGGCGGGGCTAATGGAAGGCAATGTGAAATATGTGTGCAATCATAATAGCAATATGTATACAGCGTTTCGTGAATATCGGAATAACTATATCCGAGAAGTTTGGAGTAATTTGCGACATGTAAATCGTCAAAAATGGTGTATTCGCTGTTAGCTTACGACCTCCACGAGTAATTTTTCAAAAATGTGCTTCTCAATTAAGTTTCATATTGGATAGGGGCTGAACGTGTCCTGGATTGGAATTTTTCCGATCATTCCCCTAGGAGAAGTGTGCAAGAATGTGCTTAAAATGGCTGAAAAACGCACATATTTCAAAATGGCCGACTTGTTGGGGGGCGGGGCTAATGGAATGTATGTACAAATATGTTTTCAATTCCATGAGGAATGTCTGTGCCAAAATTCGTGAAGTTCTGAGAAACTATGAGACTACCACACAATAGGGGGCGCTAGTGAGCAGTATTTTAGAAAAATGACGTTTTTTTTTTACATTCTTGAAAAGGTCGTGGGCTGTGACGTGTGTACCAAGTTTTGCGTACCGAAACACATTTTAGCACATCGTCATAAAAAAAAAAGTACAGGCCACGCCCACATTTGTCATTCGTTGTGACAATTTAAATATAAGTCCATACTCATCCCCAGAGTATGTCTAAAAAAATATATATATATTTCGTCCATCAGTTCATGAGTTATACATTTGTCATGTTTTTGGCGCCCCCTATAGTCCAAAATGGAAATTACTTGTTGTGCCTATTCCCCAATACAGATTGAACATTACCACCAAAATGTGTGTTTTTTTTGTACATTGTTGATGAGTTATGAGCATTTCTATCTAAGCCCCGCCTTTTTGCGAACACGTTTAGAGTAATGAGGGCCACATTTATCGACTGAACATGCTCATTTCCTAGGATAATGTGTCTGACCCTCCGGCGATACTGTATACTGAGTTTGGTGTTGAAAAACCAAAATTTGAAATTTAAGTGAATATTTAACTGTTTTTCAAATTATGCTAATTTAAAAAAAAATAAAGTAGGCGGAGCTTACGGGTACTTGGACCTTATATGTAGAGCAGGTCCACCCGAGTAAGTGTGAAAAATTTCAGGTCATTTGGAGTTACGGTGCGACTTTGTACATCTTTCCAAAAACGGAAATGGCCATAGGTGGCGCTAGAGAGCATGTTGGACAATTTGAACACATTGAGTCCAGAATATTGTAGTTTTCACCGATTCTGGAATCTGTGCAAAATTATACAACTTTTTCAGCGTCCTAAAGGCCTCAAAAACAGGAAACGCCAGCAGAAAAATAAGAATAATTCCACGAATAACAATAGGTATCCTTGCACTTCGTGCTAGGACGCCGTTGGGTCCTAGCACTCTCGTGCTCGGGCCCTAATAAGAAGATGATTAAAGAATCGAAGAACTATAGTGGAATGAGTATACTGTTGGTACTTTAATTATATTTTGGTGCTTATACTTTTATCCTTTTAATTGAATCTTTGAATAAGGGAATTCTACTTGTCAGAGAGTATTACAATCTCATCTTTTACTTAAGAACAAGTTTTAAAACCTTTCTCCTGCTGGAATAGGTTACAGTGCTGACCTACACTGCTGGACAGCCTTTCATGTTAACATTTATGGTAGAAATCAACTTAGAAATGGCCATTTATAGCATGGTTTATGACTTAACTATCCACAACGTTGCAAAGTTCAAACAGAAAATGTTAATTCCAAGGGCTGGGTAGAAAATATGAGCATACATTATTATATAGTACGTTACCCAATAAAACTTTGAGTGCACACAGCTGTTACCTGCAGAGTGAGCATGCGGTTGAACCATCAAATCCTCTTTACACAATATATTCAAACCTTTAAATAAAAGCATTACCTCACTGTGGAGATAGTGCATTATGTTTGTGTGTAAGTATTTGCAAAGAAGTGCTTTAGCAGCGTTGGATCACAATGTCTTCTTCTTTGCCAACAATTATATTTTAGATGTCCTGCCAGTGGTTGTAAGCTTTACTTTTCAACTGTTGCCATCCATTTTGAGTGTAGTCAATTATTTGTTTACACGAAGACCTCTTAAACTACAGTATTTTTTTTTCTTTAATGGGCAAGTATTCAAATACTGGATGACAAAGGCGGTGCTTAACAGACAAACAATAAATGAATGTTCGGTTCCTTCATGTGCACAACTCGTGTGTATGTGTGAGAAGAAGGACTGCTAAGAAAAATCGTCTGCAAACAATTGTTGTCTCCTTTACTCTCATGCAGTCAAACTGTGTGAGCCTTTTGGTCAGGCAGAGGATCAATGGTGCTTATTTAGTAAAGTGTTGTAAAGTGCTGCCAAATGGTAAGTCAGTGATGTTATTTTCCTCTAATGTTTATTCAGTCCATCCTGCAGTCTATGAGAATGGATTCACATATTTGCTTCTTACACTAAATGTTCATATCACTAGATACTTTGACACTAGAATAAATACAATTTTATTTTGAATCCATGTAAGATTTATGTAGTAGGAAATATTGCGTTTCGCTGTAAATGAATGCTAGATGCTGCACGCCTGATGAGTAATGGATTAACTGTAACAGGATTACGAAAACCTGATGCAAATACATCAAACATAAACATGACTGTATTCATTTACAGTTACATTTGAAAAAGACGTATTCAGATTACTGTCACATTTCTAAATATTTGGGATAACTAGAGAGAGTTACTCAAAGTTAAACAGAGCATCTAGTGTTTGTTGTAAAGGGTCAGATGTTCTCTCTTCTCTGTAGGATAATACTCTTAGAGTGAATCTATACGCCTACTGCCTGAATCTGCTTTATGGTTTTCACTTTCTTTGGTTCTTTTGTTCTGTTTTCATTCAGCAGGGGAACCTATATGTTCATAAAATAGTGTGTGTGAGCTTAACTGTGTGCATTCAAGTAAAACGGAGCATTTTCTGTCAGCTCAGATTGTATTTCTGCTTTTTTAAACTGCAGTATGTGCTCATGTGTTTCAGTGCTGCTGCCTGAATCTGCTGAGTGAAAGACAGCTTTCCCCATCAATAAAATCATTTCTGATCCTAAATATCTTGGTTTCTTCTTCTCTAAGGTCACATTGTTCTGTTGTCTTACATAATACACAGAAGTAAGAAACATTGAATTTATCTGCATTGCATTTGATATTAATGCAATTCAAAAGTAATCAGGTTAAATTACTTGCATTTGTTTTTACAGGTATCTATAGTAGTAATAGTAATTCATTTTTAAAGTAACCCACCTAATCATGTTTAGAAGTAACTTAGTAACCATATGTACATATTTGCAGATAAGATGATAAAAGACAAAAGAAGACACAAATAACACATTTTATAATCAACCTGTTATTAACATGATTACATAAGTAACTATCTTTGGAAAACATGCAGAGTTGCATGCATTGTTTCTGTCACATCCAATGGATGAAGCGGTATTGTGAACAAAGCTTCTGTTTTTAGCTACAGCACCATAACAGACAGCCCAGTTGAATCGGGGGAAGAATGACAGTCAAAACATGGACCCCCCACCTCAGAAAGTATTTATACACAGTATAAAAGGTCATGTTTATTTCATGTGAAGGCTACGCCAAATCCCATTTATACATATATATATTTTTGGAAAATGCATTGATTACTATTTTCTACATTACACCCATATTAGACATTAATACACCATGTTACACCACCATTACACCCTTATTTTACCCATGTCACAGCCATGTGACAGTGTTATTAGTCATAAAAGTGTCAAAGTATTTTACAAAAAGTCAGTCAGAAGAACGTTGTTTGTGTCTACAGCAGTAAAATGCTATTTGATGCAACCATACTATCTATAAATATAATTATATACAGACATGAAGGCCATTTTTCTGCACAATGATTACTTTTACTTTACATTTTACAAGTACATTTAGCTGATAATGCTTTTACTTACAGGTAAAAAGTAAGATTTTGTAAGATTTTGAATGCAGAACTTTTACTTGTAATGAAGTATTTTGACAATAATGTAATGGTACTTTTACTCAAGTAAAGCATCTGAATACTTCCTCCACCTCTGCCTTCAAGATGTAATGAAACCACAGCTCGCACAGTCCTTGCTGCTCATTCCCTGCTGCTGCATGACTCCAGCATCCCAGCAGCGTTCGTAGGCTACTAGAAACGTTTCTAGGAGCTTCGCCGAAGGGAACAGTGACATTCCCGCATTTGGGAACAGTTAGCCTGCCTTCACATACACAATGACACTTATATGTTTTTCGAAGTTTATCTCAGGCATTATTGTTGCTGTGTTAATTAAATATTAGATGAATGGAATTACTTCACAGTTAAAACGACACAGTGCCCTTGACAATAAGCAAGACAGAATCAAAGTGACAGACTGAGATTAACTAGCAAACTCCCCAGTCCCCCTTTATAAGGTTTTTGCAAATGGACACCGCTTCAAAGGGGGGAACAAACAGCTATTATTTACCTTAACGGGCCAGTTGCTGGTGAGCGGGAGAACCGGGAGGTGTAGTAGGAGAAAGGAGCAAACCGGGAGAGCTAAGCCTCCGTTACCGAACATGGTTCATTCATGTCATGGAGCGACTACAGTACCCCTCCCCTTACCTCCGCTCGCCTCCAGTCCTCACTCCTCTGCTTCTCCACTCATTCCTCCTCCCCCTTTGATGTAGCCACGCCCTCGGGTCGGAATCGCTCGCGCCTGTGATACGCACGCGCCACACTACACTCCTACTTCGGCTTTACTCCGACATCCACATTGTGTGTGGACTGTTTGGGAGCTGTTTTGTGAGTTTGTGTTCTTAACTTATTACGTTTTTCTAGTTGTGTAACAGTCTAGGATTCATAGGACATGACATGCTGCATAGGCCATAAGGCCAACCTTATTAAGCACAAATAAATTCACTTAAAGAGATACGAAAAAGTAATGTGACTTACGTATAGGCTATGCAAAGGTTTTGTATTTGATCTTTATTTTAAACTGTGGTATGATTTCCAAAGCGTGTATCGATTTTTGATTTCAGATTTTTATTGTCATCTTTTTTTAATATATATAGCCTATAGTGCCACAGTGACGCATCCTAAAACCCGGAAGTAAACTTCTTCCGGTTCCTTCGACAAAACCAATGCAATTTCTCCATGGGATTTTGGAAAATAGCTCGAAATAAGGTCTGTGTTTGACACAAATTGAAGAGACAGATCACGTTTTGTTCAGCCGGATAATATCCACATGTCTACCCTACTTTTATAATTTTCGAATAATAAATCTATCGATCATAAATCTATTGATTAGATTTATGATTCAATTTGTGTCAACCAAAGACCTGCAGAACCTATGTTAGCTTTCATCAAACTCGACGAGACCCCAGTTTTATCGACTCGCTAACTTATAATGCAAATAATAATAATAATAACAAGCAAAGTACACTGACTTCAATTATATATGTTAATCTGTATATTAATATTGTATTCATCTCGGTATACATTGCAAATGTACTGTTCTATTTTTGATTATTTGTTTATTTTGTATTGCTTATACATAGATATTTGCTGTTTAGGATTATTTTGTCATTTAATAAAATTGTATTCCATGACAAAATAATTTCCCAAACTGGGATCAATAAAAGTATATCTTATATGTTATTATCTTATAACTTATTTGTATCTGTTTTTTAATAACTAATTCATTCAATGTATTTATAGTATTAGTGTGAATGCTGTTTACAGCATTCCACTATAGTTCTTCAAATCTTTATTCTCCTTATTTCAACCAATACTTTGGCTTTCAATAACTTCAGCGTACTTTCAGCTACAGAAACCATTCAAATATCAAAAATATTCAGCCTTTTCAGCACATGATGGGAAACTTTCAACTTTTTCAAAATATGTTATACTTTTTCAAAAATGCAGCTTTTTTAACTCTTTTTTTAACATGTAACTCAATGGGAGGAACCTTCAAATCCTCTTTTCCATACACCGTGCGCCAAATGCTACTCCTTCCACATACTTTCAGCTAGAGACTTCATTCCAACTTTAAAACGGTCACCAGCTATAAAACTTGTTCTTCAGATCTTTTATATTTTTTACACTTTTTGAGATATTTAACTTAGTTTGGAGCTTGGTAAAGAGGCCTTCTTCAGATTTTAACATGAGTGTGTACTGCGCCGCTCGTTAAGGCTTAGAGTGCGTGATGTCACAGCTAGAGTGGAGGAGAGCTTGAAATCATCTTAAATTATTTTTTAAAACTGCCATAATTCCCAAACCCTACACTCCTTGGACATCATTTTTTGTGAAAAACGTAGGAAAACCTCTCCTACCTTGAAAAATTAAGGAAATTAAGAAAAAAAATTAAACAAAATGCCTCCTGAGGGCATGAAGTGACAAAAACGTTCAACATGTCTCCATTAAGGCCCATTGTAAATCAAGCCTGATCTGTCCTCAGAGCAGCAGCTGCACACCTTTAATAAATCTGCCAAAAATGTCACATTATGGACCCGAAAGTACACAAAAAGCAGACTCTGACGCTCCTCACGGTCCTGACATTCTCCACGCGTTGACATTTTACGAAAGCAGCTACCGTTTTTAAACTATAGTTAGAAATGTAAGAGGTTTATTTCCCATTCAGAACAATGGGAAGGCTCTCCTTTCACAGCACATCTCCATGGAAACCTTTGATCTCTGGGCTCACGTACACAGGTGTTTGATATTGTCGTCACCATGGTAACCTTTGATCTCTGGGCTCACACACAGGTTTTTGATAACGTTGTCACCTCAAACACAAACAAACGGACTGGAGTTTAAAGACTGTCTCAGCCTATTATTTTCTGTCTGATGGAGACTTCATACTGACTTCAACATGTTCCACATATTTTATACATTATTGGTGACGTTTGGTTTTAGTTCAAAAGTTTGCAGTTAAACTATTCTGATGCTTTTCAAAGCGTCTTTACTTTCTTTTCTCTTCTTAATACACATTCATTCACTACTACTTACATTTAATATTTAATTCCTTCAGCCTACTTTCAGCTATAAACCATTCAACTATTAACTTATTCAGCTATTTCAGGACATTGAGGCTATACATTTAGTTGTTTATACCTTTTCTTAGGTCCCATGTCATGGCCATTTCCACTGATCATAATTCCATTGTTGAGGTCTACTAGAATAGATTTATATTGTGCAATTTTCCAAACTCACATTGGTTTCTCATACAGCATACACTACGTGAATTCACTGAATTTCACTCTCTGCCTTTAACGGCTCGTTATAGCTCCAATAGCTCCAGCCCCCACCATCCCTGTGAGCACAGTGTGCTCTGATTGGTCGGGACGTTGTGAATCGCGCTGAGTTTAGTGGAGGTGTGGTTTCCTTGTTTAGTGATACACAGCGAAACACAGCCAAACTCATCCTGAGCACACACAAAGTCACAGCCGTAGTAAAAACAATAAGTGTGGCTTGATATTGAGTAAGAAAAAGGTTGATAAACGCTGTGAGAATGGGTCTGCAGAGAGAATTTCGCCGCGATCCCAACTGTCTGTTATCAGCCTGCAGCCAGGGAGGAGAAATCAGCAGAGCTGCCTACGTCACGATACCCAGGAAGTAAACAATGGAAAATGAGAAATCTCCAACGAGGCGTTTTGGGGAGGTTTTGGGGAGAGTTTTACTCGCTACAGGGTGCACTTTGAAGGTTTTTGACCGCAGACCGTTTACATGCATACAAACCTTCATAACACACAAGGGGACGGTAATAACCGGGAAAGCATGACATGGGACCTTTAAATATTAAGCTTATTCACTAAATTCAGCAACAAATGTACAGTTTACAGCATTCACACGCATTTTCAGCAGGAAATGCATTTTTTAGTTTCAGTTTGCCCTCTATTTGTGAGCCTAAATATCAGGATCTGTCTGCTGTGATGTTAGTCTGTGTCTTTTTGCCAATGCATTTAAGGGTTTTCAAGTTAACATTCCTTCCTGTGTTCAGAACTTGATTTATTATTGGGTGGCTCAGATTCAGTGCACACAGGGACCATGTGGTGTGTTTTCCAAAATAAGGTTATTTTAGATGAAAGGATTATAGAGAATTGATATGCACAAAATAGACTGCCTGTTTTCTTCAACATCCACCCCCAATTTGATTAGGGGCCCGTTGGCAAAGCGCCTCAATTTCCCAGACTACATAGCTTCTTCTACGTCCGCCATATTGCCTTCGCCTAAACGCTCACGCTAGATCGGCTCGCATCCACAACGGAACATTGTAAGTATAGAAACAATCGTATTTTACGCAATGTATGAATGTATCGTTTATATGTCTGAATATAATTATCAGAGACCGTTTCCATGCATGTTTACAGATATTTAACAGATGGAGAAATGTTTAAATAAGCGTATAAAGCACGCGAGAGGCTGGTGCGGCGGCGGCGGCTCTTTCGCTGTTGTTGTTTTTCCCTCTGTCACAGCCACAAATTACATTCACGACCCCCTTGCTATATTTAAAACATTAACATTTAGTATCATTAGCTGTAATGTTAGACACACAAATAGTTAAACAGGCAAGCCGTCTTTGTTGTCTTTCGACCACGTACATGCTGTACCAGAATGCGCCTCGAATGTTAGCATCACGAAGGATAGCTAGCTTCTCTGTTAGCCACTTAGCATTAGCCGAGCCCCACACATTTTACGTGATATATGTGCGCGGGGTCTGTCTTTTATCTGTAAATGATTCGTTAATAGGCTACTTATAACATGGACTGAATCAAATGCTAATGTATAACTAGCTACTCCTTGTCTTGTGCTAGCTATCAACATTAGCTACTACGACTTAACATCATGGATGTATAATAAGAACATACGCAGTAGGCTACTGTACATCTTGTTGGAGTCAGATTGTTATAATAACACATTGGGTTTTGTTTATCAGGATTCTACCTTGAGGTGTATACCACTGTCAATTGTTAAGAAACCTTAAAATGCATATACACGAATTACCGTTTGAAAGTATTCCAAATGTTGTGGTGTCTTGAAATGTCTTTATTGTCAGACAGATATCAACTCAAATACTGTTAAGGTGAAACACAATCCATCCATCCATCTTCTCCCGCTTATCCGTGGTCGGGTCGCGGGGGTAGCAGTTCCAGCAGAGAGCCCCAAACTTTCTTTTCCCTGGCGACATCAACCAGCTCTGACTGGGGGATCCCAAGGCGCTCCCAGGCCAGCGAAGAGATATAATCCCTCCACCTGGTCCTAGGTCTACCCCTTGAAACACAATAACGTCAATATTTGTATTATATAATCAATTGTAAAAGTCATACATTTAAAAAGGAGCACGTTTTGGACTAGCAAGCCATTTAGGAAAGTAGCCCCCTAAAAATGTTTCTGTTCTGTTGATGTGATTTATAAAATATGTAATTTGGAAAATAAAATGTTAGAACTATAAATTCCTAAAGGAAAATGTTAATACTGTAAACATTGAGACATGGATCAGACGTGGTGAACATGTACAGTACAGGTTACAATTTTAATTAACAGTCATAATAAAGAACAGCGCTGTCAAATTCAGATGTTCCCTAATCTTCTTGAGAATCTTCACTTTCAATGTGTGCAGTATCCAAGTGTCAAATAAGAACTGGGGGTTATTCTCTCCATCAGTGTTTCCGCCAGACCAGGGCTGAGAGCGGGAGGGGCTTGAATTTTGACTTGAGCCGTCCCTTATAGATACTGTCTTTTTACGTTAGTGAGCCGGATCATTTGGCTCGGCTCTCTTAAAGCGCCGGCTCCCAAACGGCTCTTCATGTTACCACAGTTTACCACGGAGCCTCAGTTTCGCCACTGCGAGGCTCTGCTGCTCGCAGCTCACGCGCGTGCTCCACTAGCAGGCACCTTCGATGCCGGGGAACGATCTTCAATACTCCGAAAAGAATCCCACCAGACTCCTTTGCCCCTCCAACAGAGGGATGTCCTTTTTCCTTTTTGTCATTTCAAGCGATAAAAACTCTCGATCTTCTCTCGAATTATTAATATTTTTGGATGCCCTCGGCTCGAGTTCAGGGCGTCCCGAGCTGAATAAGGGCGTCAAATGACGGCAAGACGCCCCCCTGGCGGAAACGCTGCTCTCCATCCATTGGTGCTTCTAAATTCATCCTCTGTATTCTTCAATATAAATGGCAATATAAGTGTTTCATATTGATTTACTAATCTTGTCCCTTTATATATGTAATTGAGATCCAGTTTCTCACAAATGGAGGTTACTTGACAATGTACATTTTAAGCATACTGTACTGTAGGGCTGCTCGATTATGGCAAAAATCATAATCTCGATTATTTGGGTCAATAATTGATATCACGATTATCCATTTACTTTGAAAACATCAATTTATTGGAGAAAAAACATTTGAACAGTATGTTTTTAACAGTTGATTACCCTGGACTTTAAGCATAATTCAACTGAAAAACCTATACAAAAAAAAGTAATAATGGCCTGTGGATAATTAATGCTCAAAAAGATATAATAATGGGAATGTTCTTTTGTTGTGCAAGCTGATGTATTGTACAGATCTGTTTCCTAAGCGTTTTGCTCTATGAAAGACAAAGCAAATTAGTGAGTATTAATGTTATTGCCATCTGTAATAAACATTGTAACATGACAAGAACATTTACTTTTGTGTTTCAGTGTTGCAACTTGCAGTGATGACACAAACGGTTCAGACCAACGGGGTTCAGCCCCTCAGTAAGACCTGGGAGCTGAGTCTGTACGAGCTGCAGAGAACTCCACAGGTAACAATTCATAGTATATTATTTCACTCATTTAAAGGTGGGGTAGGTCATTTTGGAGAAACCAGCTCCAGTGCGCTAGAATTTGAAAATACACAGCCTGAAAAAATCTGCCACTTCCTCACAGAGTCCCTCCTCCAACACACACGAACGCACACATGACCAATGAGGGCACGAGATAAATTTGTGCACAGATGGAAGGCTGACAGGCAGGTAGGCCATCCAGTCATTTTAGCCGGGCCGGCTCAGATGATTGGTCGTGTTTTTTACAGCGCCACGGCTTCCAGAGATGATATTTATTCATGGATTTGTTGTCAAAGCACTTCAGATATTCATTGCTATCGGGATGTTAAGAGCATTCCATGGAGTATAACAAAAAGTATCTCGAGCCGGTTTCTCAAACTTACCTACCCCACCTTTAAGTGTCTTTATCAAATATCTCTTGTTGACATGTTTTCCTTAAGCTTACATTCATTTAATTGTTTTCAACACATGGTGGGCCACCCATGTATACCTAAAAACATGAACAGAGCATTGTCAGCATGATGCCCCTCTACAGACAGATGTATCTTTGTGTGTACTAACCTTCATCTGGATCTGTTTCGTACTGGCACAGGAGGCGATAACAGATGGACTGGAAATAGCAGTATCGCCCAGGTCCTTGCACAGCGAACTCATGTGTCCTATATGCCTGGACATGCTGAAGAACACAATGACAACCAAAGAATGTCTGCACCGCTTCTGCGCTGATTGTATCATCACAGCCTTAAGATCTGGGTAAGTTTCACCCAGCAGGAGAGCTTTCTCCTACCCATTTCCCACCAAAGCGGATCCAGGGCTGATTCAGAGCCGGACCCGATTGCAAACATGTTTTTTATTCTTTCCACTGCTGTGATGCCAGCTCTCGGCCCTGAATACGGGTTACCATTTGAAACCAACAATCTGCTGGGCTGGAACAAAACAAACTTTGCGGAGATCATTGTAGCGTTGAATCAGATCAGATTTATTCTTTGATCAAGGCAGCATACAAACATGAAGACAAACTTCCTCGCTATACTATAAGACTATACCGCTTCCTGTCTAATCACAAACTCAGCTGTGAACCATTGTCCTGCCATATATAGGCATAATGACATGCCTGTCATACCCGACACGCACATTAGACAGCCAATAAGTGAGACTTAAATGAACATCTTTTAAACCGTAGTGGGACTCACAAAAATAAATAGTTAAGAGTTTACGCTAAAGCCTTAATAAGACAAACATTCAAACCATAATGATGAAAGGAAAATGGCTAACAGTTGGATAGGCATCATTTGATTTAGTTTGTCTCTTTTCCCTCCCTGCAGTAATAAAGAGTGTCCTACATGTCGTAAGAAGCTGGTTTCCAAGAGGTCGCTGCGTCCAGACCCTAACTTTGATGCTCTGATAAGTAAGTTACCTCAGAAGTTACAAGGAAGTTTAATTACTACGCAGAAAAACATTTTTATTCATTTAATTTTTCCCATTTCAGGCAAGATTTATCCCAGTCGTGACGAATATGAAGCCCACCAAGAGAGGGTGTTGGCTCGCATCAGCAAACACAACAACCAGCAAGCCCTGTCCCACAGCATAGAGGAGGGGCTGAAGATACAGGCTATGACTAGGTACACACTCACCTCCAGACACACAATGACAATGCAAACAAAAGAGTGTGTCCTCTCCAATGATTGGACTTTGGGTTTGTTTCCTTCAGATTGCAGCGTGGTAAGAGACACACAGTGGAGAATGGGAGCGGAGCTGAGGACAACGGAGACTCCTCCCACTGTAGCAACGCCTCTGTCCATAGCAACCAGGTATGTTTCAGACTATCAAACATTACGACAATGAGGATGCATTTTTTACATAACGGTGTATGCAACCAGGAAGTGCTAAACCTTAGACACCATGCTAATAATAATGGTTAACAGTAATTGTTACGCTGAACTTGTGTGATGATTAGACTGAGGAGATGTGGTTACTGTTGAGATGCACACTGCTGTTTGTGCAGGCAAGCATGCATACCTACAGGATGTGAATACCAGAGGTGTGGACTCGAGTCACATGACTTGGACTCGAGTCAGACTCGAGTCACACATTTTATGACTTGAGACTCGACTTGACAACATCACAAAAGACTTGCGACTCGACTTGGACTTGAACACCAATGACTCGGGACTTGACTTGGACTTGAGCCTTCTGACTTGAGGTGACTTGCTACTTTAATTCAGAGGTCTCCAACACGCCGATCGCGAGCTGCCGCTAGAAGAGCAGACTCCCGTCGGAGAGAGCAGAATCTTCAGCCGCTCCTACTCTTGCTGAGAATCCTTGCAGGCAGGGGCGGGTCTTTGTTTAGCTGGGCCACCATGCGGCCAATCATATGCGAGGACACACTAGGATCATACCATTATGTGAAAGAAGGGTGGGGGGCACAGCATGTGTAGTGGTACAGGCCAGCTGCACAGAGCCGGATTTAAATGCAAGCGCGTCGGAAAAAGTCAAGAAATTAGCGAAAACCGAAAAAAGAAGCGGCATCTGGCTGCTTGTCAATGATATTGGAGAAAGCAAAGCTGAGTGCAGGATTTGTAAAAATGAAAATAACCTTCAGAGCAGTTTTTTTTTTTGGTAACCACTCAGGATTTATTGTCAGAGGTGGGAGAAGTTCAGACAATTAAAAAAAGTTACAATCAGGGTTCCCGCGGGGTCTTAATAAGTCTTAAAAAGTCTTACATTTGATAATCAGAATTTAAGGCCTTAAAAAGGTCTTAAATATGATTTAGAAGGTCTTAAAAATTATCGGATTTGAAAGGTACTTCTATGTTGCGATAGCGTCTAAATGTGTTTTGGGGGAAATGTCCGGGCTGCAAAGTAACCAGTACGGTAATAGCCTTTCAGTTCCCCCCAACAATTTGTATTGAATTAAATCAACATGGAACCAGTAATCACTAACTTTGTTACCCCCGGCCCCTTATTGGAGAACACCCAGCTAGTAACCTAGCAACCAAGCTTCAGCTCATGTAGCCTATCTTCGAATCTACTTACAAATAAATATGGGGAAGTGTAAGTTCAACCGTATTTGGTTGGAAAACATCTAATTTAGTGCTTGGTTGAAACCAGTGGAGGGAACGTGTTTGAAGCCCGCTGCACCTTTTGCAAAAGAAATTAGCGTTAGCTAGTGCAGCAGCAGCTAATGTAGCGTTAGCTAGTGCAGCAGCAGCTAATGCAGCAGCTCCCGCAACAACACCGGGGGACCTCCGGGCGAAGTTTGGGTCTACGTCAACCCTAAAAGCGGAGGTGCTGTAGACGCTACACACACGGGCTGCTCGATTATGGCAATAATCAAGATTATGTTGGTCAATAATTAATATCACGATTATTAAATATGATTATTCATTGACTTTGAAAACATCCATTTATTGAACTTTAAAACAAATAATAATTTGAAGAGTATCTTTTTAACTGTTGATTACCCTGAACGTATAATTCAACTGAAAAACCAATACAAAAATTAATTAAATAAATGATACATTACTAAAAAATTAATTAGATCAAATATGTTGTAGTGCACTGTCACAACCTAGCAAAGCAAAATAATCGTTTTTTACGATTATGTTGTTTTCGTAATTGTGGCAGGCCAAAATCGTAATTGCGATTAAAATATGATTAATTGCACAGCCCTAACACACACACACACTCAAGCACACACACAGATACACACTTTTTGTCTAACACGCTAACACAGTTCTGTACTGTTATGCTGTTGTGTTCAGTCATTGTTCTTATGTTGAACATGAATACATTTACTTTGTAAGTGATTATGGGACGTATTTCTTCTTTCATATCAATTTTCCTTCATACTTTATTGCCGTGAAATAGGTCTTAAATTCTATTCAAAGTGGTCTTAAAAAGGTGTTATTTGAGTTGGCGAAACCTGCAGGAACCCTGTACAATAAAAAGTCCTGCATTCAAAATGTTACAAGTAAAAGTACAAAAGTATTAGCATCAAAATATAGTTAAAGTACCACCTGCAGAGGGATCTAGATTCAGGTGTTCTCTTCCCCATAGAGACCGCCTCGCTGCACATTATCCCTTGCATAAAGATAGATTGTGGGTCCCTTACATCATGTTGTACACAGTAGAAATAAACATTCTGGTTACCTCAACATCAGGGATCTTATACATTAAACTCCTTCTGAATCAAACCGTCACGGTAGCCTTACCTTACCGATCCCTCTTAAATTAGAAAAACACACGTTACTTTACCAGCAGAGAGAAAATGGATTATTAAATTATTAATGTGACTAATAAAGAGCAGTTTGATTATTAAGTATTATTCTGTTGATCGATGTCATTACATTTGGTGAAAAACACATAATGACTTGTTTATGACTCGTTTTGTCAAAGTTTAGGACTTGACTTGACTTGAACTTGCCCATCCTGACTTGAGACTTGACTTGGACTTGCAAGACAATGACTTGGTCCCACCTCTGGTGAATACTAATATAGAGTGGTGCAGGAATTAGTTCAAAAACCTGGAAATGAGTAAATACACCATTGGTGAATGTCTGAAGTTTCGATGTATCATAAACTAAATCAACTACTAAACGCCATCACGCGGAAGATTAGCTGCCTTTAGCTTAGCAGTGGTGATGCACAGCCATGCATTTATACTTCAGAAATCATAAAGTGGTTTTAATATGTGGAGATTATCCTGCTGAACAAAGCGTCTATCATTAATGTGTGTTTGCCAAACTTTGTAAATATAATAATCCCATCTTTTTGTCAAAGGAGCCCTTTCGATGCTATCTTCCGAGTCAGCATAAATAAATGCATCATCACTGCTTTCTATTGGGGAGGAGAATATGTCAGGGTGTCGGCGGGGTCTTTTGAGTTTAAGTTGATAAATCAATTGAGAGAAAATGAACTCTGTTAAAATGTATTAAACGGCATTTTCCAAGGTGTTACATTTTGTTGCTTGTTTTCAATAAGTATATGAATGGTCCAAAGAGGTTGTATTCTACAGTCTGCCTGAATGTACTCATTGCGTAGGTGTGGAGTGTGATTCTGTGTAGTTTATTTATGGCATCCTCTTGGATTTGACGTCATCTAAACAGGACATCGCACGCTCACTGCTTGATAGCACGCGAAGGTCCGTTTACGCCGGTTGTAACAACATCGTTATGGGGAAATGCAAGTCTGCGTCCAAATGGTTGGAAGATAAGGAGGACAATCAATACTGTATATAGTCAATGTGAGGTAAAGTGTGCAATGTAACCGGTTAGAATTCAAAGTGGCGATGAGGTCTTAACATGTATGGAAAGGGTCTTAACCCTCCTGTTGTCCTGGGGTCATTTTTGACCCCAAAAGGAACTCTATTGCTGTCAATAATAGGTTTTTAATTCATCAAATGGTCTGAAAATGATAGGGGTTGTTCAATACTATGCTCTTAACGATTAACATACATTTGAAGTAATTTAATTGAATTATGGGTGTTTTATTGTATTTTATAACACCTTAAGCCCTCTGGGGTCAAAAATGACCCCGCAGGACAAAGTGGAGCAATGGGGCAAATTTTTTCGGCATAATGATGCAACAACCCCCTGCCTGCTCCTCGGGGTACACACACACACACACACACACACACACACACACACACACACACACACACACACACACACACACACACACACACACACACACACACACACACACACACTTTTGATGTATAGGATCAATCCATTTTTAGATCAACAAAAATCATAAACAAAAAAGATAGACGAAAAACAAACAGGCCTTTTCTCACGGTTGCTGGGGCATTTCACCTTTTAGTCCCTCCCTCCTTACGGCACACACACACACACACACACACACACACACACACACCTTTGATGTATAGGATCAATCAATTGTTAGATCAACAAAAATCATAAACAAAAAAGATAGACGAAAAACAAACGGGCCTTTTCTCACGGTTGCTGGGGCATTTTACCTTTTAGTCCCTCCCTAGTTACGGCACACTCACATACACACCTTTGATGTATTGGATCAATCAATTGTCAAGTCAAAAACAAACGCCTTTTCTCACGGTTGCTGGGGCATTTCACATTTTATTCTGAGAGAGACAGGCAGCAAAATGAGGAGGCAGAAACATTTGACTGTGGAGGAGGTTCATGAGCTAATCTTTAACCGTGTTATGGAGGAAAAATCAACCGATGAGGAGGATTCAGGGTCAGAAGAGGAGGAAACTCATGAAGAGGTGATCGATGTAAGTTACAGCCCAAATTCTTCCTCTGAAGAAGCCCCCACATCGCCCGCTTCTGAAATGGAAGAAGGTTTTGAAATGGAGGAAAATGAATATGAAGAGGTAGAATCAGAAATGGAAGAAGTGTCAGAAGTGGAGGACCGCACTTATTTTGAGGAAGTGGAAGAATCCACTGATGAGGAAGAATCTGAGGAAGAGGACCCAGCTGAGATGGAAGAATATTTCCAATCTAAGGATGAAAAAATGATCTGGTCTTCCATCCCTCCCTGTGACGGACGTCGCATGGTAACAGCAGAGAAAGCAGAGAGAGAGACAAGCCGCCAGGGTCCAACCCTGTATGCAAGGTCTCGTATCGAGGACATAAAGTCTGCTTTTTATCTGTTTCTGCCCAAGGCCATCGAAGAGTCAGTGCTGAACATGACTAACAAGGAGGGGCAGCGTGTTTATGGGAAACAATGGAGAAAGATGGATCAAATGGACCTGCAGGCATACGTGGGTTTGTTGGTTCTAGCTGGAGTGTACCGATCCAGCAAAGAGGCTACAGCAAGTCTATGGAATGCAGAGTCTGGTAGGGCAATTTTCCGTGCTACCATGACACTTAAAATGTTTCATAAAATCTCCAGAGTCATAAGATTTGATGACAAAGACACAAGAAAAGATCGCCGGGCACGAGACAAACTTGCTCCAATTCGAGACGTTTGGGACACGTGGGTGTCTCTCTTGCCAATGATGTACAATCCAGGCACTAATGTGACTGTCGATGAGCGCCTGGTCCCATTCAGTGGTCGCTGTCCATTCAAACAGTATATCCCAAGCAAACCAGGGAAATATGGGATAAAAATATGGGCAGCATGCGATGCCAGGTCAAGCTACGCATGGAATATGCAGATATACACTGGCAAACCTGCTGGTGGGACGTCAGAAAAGAATCAGGGCATGCGAGTTGTCCTTGATATGACAGAAGGCCTCCAGGGAAAAACGATAACCTGTGACAACTTCTTTACTTCACATGCCCTTGGCCTGGCGCTGCTGAAAAGAAAGCTGTTCATGGTGGGAACAGTAAGGAGAAATAAACCTGAGCTTCCCCCTGCACTGGTGTCAAAAGCGGACAGGGCTCGTTTCTCATCAAAGTTTGCTTTCACCGAGACCCATGCTCTCTCTGGTGTCCTATCTCCCCAAGAAACAGAGAAATGTTCTTCTGATGAGCACTCTGCATCGGGATGCAGCTGTGAGCGACAGGGATGACAAAAAGCCCCAAATCATCGAAGATTACAATCACAACAAAGGGGGTGTCGATAACCTTGACAAGGTATTTCACATTTATTATTCATAATGTTAATACTATTATGTATGGGAAGGATAATGCATTGAATTTGTGTGTAGGAAATAAACATACATTCCAGAATATGTTTTGGTTTGTTTATTTTGTTTCAAGGTTACCAGTGTGTACACGTGCAAAAGAATGACAGCCCGTTGGCCCCTAGTTGTCTTCTTCAACATTCTCGACGTGTCTGCATACAATTCCTTTGTCCTGTGGTCTGAGATCAATCCAGCCTGGAATCAGGGGAAGTGCAACAAGAGGAGGCTGTTCATGGAGGAGCTTGGACGACAACTTGTGATACCTCACATCCAGCAACGCAAGGTCAGCATTAAGCTTCATTTCTGTTGCTCTTCCTTCTGTAGTGTCCTCACAATTTGAACTTTTTGTATTTGCACTGTGATTTATTATAATAAAGTTTGACTTGACTTGACAGGTTCTTCCCCGCACGCCAGCCGCTGCCAGTTTGGTTATGGAGGTCCAGCAGTTCTGCTCCAGCTCTACCTCTGCAGCAGCTACCCGTCACCCAGCTCCCACTCGCCCAGCTCCCGCTCGCCCAGCTCCCACTCGCCCAGCTACCGCTCGTCAAGCTCCCACTCGCCTAGCTCCCGCTCGCCAAGCTCCCCCTCCTGACCCATTACCCAAAAGGAGCAGGTGCAAATTCTGCCCTCGCCAGATTGATGTCAAAACCAAGAAAATTTGCCAAAGATGCAATGCATACATCTGCAAAGATCACACCATTGTTACCTGCCCTGCATGCAACTGAGGGCACATTAAATGTGTAACACAGAAATGCGTGAGGTTTCCACTTTAAATTCTTGAAATAACAGTCGAGCAAGACGGGGTCAAAAATGACCCCAGAGGGCACAAGGTGTGATTATGTGTTGTCATTAAAAAAAAAAAAATTATTCAAAAAGGGCATCCTTACTAAACTTTGACATATACCAGTCTGTGATAAGACAAATAGTCACAATACGATATGTTCAAATTATTAAATAGTTTCATTAATTTTTTAACTCAGAAAACGGTAAAATTTCATATAAATTAGGATCTATCGGCCCTAAATTCCAAAACTGAGGGAAAAATGTGTGGTAATGGGTTGTACTGAAGTAGAACTAAAGGTGTAACACAAAATTGATTGACATTTCATACTTTATGCTTGAAATAACAGTCAAGCAAGACGGGGTCAAAAATGACCCCAGAGGGCACAAGGTGTGATGTGTTGTCATTAAAAAAATATAAATTCTTCAAAAAGGGCATCCTTACTAAACTTTGACATATACCAGTCTCAGATAAGACAAATAGTCACAATACAATATGGTCAAATTAATTCATTGTTTAACTTTTTTTTTTTATCAGAAAATGGTATAATTTCATATAAATTAGGGTCTATCGGCCCTAAATTCCAAAACTGAGGGAAAAATGTGTGGTAATGGGTTGTACTGAAGTAGAACTAAAGGTGTAACACAAAATGTATTCACATTTTATACTTTATGCGTTAAATATCAGACAAGTCAGATGGGGTCATTTTTGACCCCAGAGGGCACAAGGTGCATAGTAATCGGGAGGACATTACGAGGGTTTTAAAAGGACATTTGACGTCAGGATTCCTGCGTATGTTCTCATTGGTGTGTTTTGCAATTTTTTTTTCAGGAGGCAGGTCCAAGCATTAAGCGCACCAAGACGAGTGATGACAGCGGGTTGGACATGGACAACGCTGCTGAGAACGGGGGTGGGGACTCTGTGATTGATGGTGGAGCCAGCGAGATAGAACTGGTGTTCAGGCCACACCCCACCCTGATGGAGAAGGACGATGCTCAAAACAGGTAGTCACCCTCACACATACTGCATTGTATAGAGCTTTTTCCAGCCTTTGGAAACCCACCAGAACGCTTTACAAATACAGTCAGCATTCAGGAGACTAACATTCACACACACTCTCACACTGTTGGCCATTAGGTTCTATTTGGGGTTGAGTATCTTGCCCAAGCTCACATTGAAACGTTTCATAGCAATGGCATACCTTAAAGAGCCTGTGGAAGCCTCCCAACAACTGTTGTGCAATGAAATATTGGGTTACTAGTCATCTTGAACCGTCAGTTTAAAAAAGAAGGTGCGATACCGTTCCGATAACTATCAATATTTTCGAACATCGCGGGGAAATTCCTTCCACTCATTTTGAAGTTTTGGGGGAAGCCGGAAGTGACGTCAATGCGGGAACGCTTCACTGCGGCGAGAGAGCCAAACACGGACAAAGTGTGTTGTCATGCGTAGAAATGGTGAATTACTGAGTTTAGGCACGTTAATAACGTTTTAATGAAGTTGACTACAGTATATTCATATTTGTCAGTGCTTTCATGTCAATTCGGCGAACATAAACATAAATGATCGTGGTGAAGATGATGATTACATTAGGATTAAAATCGAAGCTGCTGAATTTCCTCCCGTCGGATGTGATATAAAAACAAATCGATTATTTTTGTAGTTGTAAACTCAAGTGGATTAAACTACATTTATTAGTGCTTTCATGTCAATTCGGCGAACATATGATTTTTTGAACATTAAATGATCGTGAGGATGATGATTTAAAAATCGTTTGTTTGAGCCGGTCTGCATTTCCTGATGAGAAAACAAACCGATGCTTTTTGTAGTTGTAGTACACCAACATGGATTAAACGTGTGTTTTTTTCACCACAATGTTGGAGAAATTAATGGATAAAATGCACGGATTATTATTATTATTATTCCCACTCCGATCGGGACACTAGGTCCCTTTCTTATTTCTCTAACTCCCCTCCTCGAGACTTAGTCCCGCCCACAGGAGATGCGAGCCGAGGAGGGGAACCGAGGAGAGAGGAGGGGAAGCAGCAGGCGGTTAGAGAAATGAGAACTCCTCTCCTCTGAGCGGTCATTTTAAAGAGACGTCCATTAATGATGACAGGAGGCACAGCAGCCCTCTGTCTGATGGACAGATGTGTTCATGATGACTTATATATTTACTTTGATTCATTCACAGTGCGGTATAATGAGACAATAACAGGCTACAGATGCGGACACACACACACACATATATATATATTTATATACATATATATACAATTTCAGAATCAAACAGATTACTCTCATAAAGTAACACTATCAGAGACTGGATATATCCCCCCCCCCCCTCTCTGGTCGCTACAATGAGGAAAATAAATTACGGGCCAAAAGTTTTATTTACAAGTATTAAAAGTAAGCAGAGGACACCAAACCAACTGAGACCTGTCTGTCCGCCGCATCTACGCACACACTGTACCACACACACCTACACACTGTACCACACACACCTACACACTGTACCACACACACGCACCTACAGCTAACATCCTAACAGCCGTTGTGTATTTTATTATGTGAAGCACTAAATGGTTTTAGAAAAATATGGACTCTTTGTTTGTAGATATCTACTAAACTAAAGCAAATAAAGAGAGTAGGCCTGTTATACTGAGTGATATATATTATACACACTGCTCTGCTTTCTGCACGGACCTCACAGTTGTTCTCTCTGGAAACATATAAGAGCAGTTAATAAAATAATATCCAGGGGATGCATGCAGAGCTGTGATTGGCTGAGATAAGTCCGGCCGTGCGTCACGACTCTTTGAAACATCTCTGTTGCCGGAAATGCATCCACGAAGGAGCCGTGGAGGACCCATCAGTGTATCCTCGGTTAGAGCTCCTCCAGAGAGCCTGCTCGGTGCTCGATCCTCGAAGTGCATTTAGAGAAATGAGATGTCCTTCAACATGGCGCGCTGAAATTCATTTCCGGGTCACTACCGGAGGACCGAGGGGTCGAGGAGGGGGAATGAAATGAGAAAGGGCCTAGGTCCACCGTTTCCCCGCAGCGAGGCTCCCCCCGTTGACAGTTTACGTGGGCTGGGTGCAGTGGCGGACTGGCCATCGGGACGAATCCCGATGGGCCGGTACCGAAGTGGGCCGGTCGGATAAGTCACTAGCACATCCCCCACTCCCCCCGTTGACAACTTACTAGCGGTACCGAAGTGGGCCGGTCGAGAGTCCCGGGAGGATTTTTAGTCCCATTCCACCACTGGCTACATGACCGTATGATCGCCCATATTGACGCACCTAATTCCTAAACTTCTAACAGATACAACATAAAGCGATCCTTCAGCCTCATATGAGCTCTCAGACACGTTCAAAATGAAACTGTCATCGCTGTCTGAGCTTGCTGCTGTGTGCACCATCGTGCGCTTACATGCAGATGCTGGGATCCTGAACGGTGCAGCTGGAGCGCTGTGCCCGCAATGACGTCACACATCATTTGGCGGGACTTGAAGAATCCCAGAGAAGATCCAGAAAATGGTCAACATTGAAGGGCAGATTAATGGTTATCAAAGTACAAATATCCAAAATCAGTTCAGTAATGGTTTTCAAGGGGACAATATTTACTCAAATTGATGGGTTTGGATGATGGGGGAAACTCGTGTCACAGGCTCTTTAAAGATCAAATGCAAAGGTTTTTTTATAATTGCCAGTAAAATCGAAATCATATAGCTACAACACTATCTAAGATATTGCAGTATTAAAATCGGAGATAATATGCGTCTGGCAATGCGCAATATTTATTTTGTTCAACCCCCAACACCAAGTCCGACGATTTATTTTCTCAGCTGCTCCTCCGCAAGATGGCGGCGCGTGACGTCACAGTGGCCAAACAAACAAACCTTGGCTTATCGCTCACAGCTGCTTCCGCCGATAGTACAACTTAGTTTCGTGATCATGTCTGATTCTGAGTAGACTATAGACTAAAAGCTTTAGGAATCCAAACTATAACATATAATAAGTACCCTGTATCAAGATTGATGCAAAACAAGTGACGTTTGACCTTTTTAGAGAGGTTTAGAAAAATAAAGTCCAGGCGGACTCACCACTGGGTAATTTGGGAACCATCACAACCAAACACAATGCTAACAGTGAGACTCTGAATTAGCCCCGAGCGAAAAATGCTAACCTATTACTGCACCGAAATCACTCCTAGCGCCCTTATTACTTATCCTAGCTCCACATCCAACACATTGTTTATGATCGTAAAGACACAGCATCTAACAGTGCCCACCTCTATAAGCACCCACTCGGCTGAAAGAAATGAAAGCATGGCGGAGGGCTTTTTTGATGCATAGGCCTAATGAAGTGGTTAGAAGAATGTTGGGTTTTCTAAGTGCTCACAGTCACTTTTAATTGCGCGGGGCGCATTTTTAATTGGGCCAGGAGGAATAATAGTGGATTTAATCCCTATCATAATGCATATTGTTCACACTTTTCCGTTATGAGTGGAGGAGCGATGAATGAGCTGCAGATAAACTACAATGCTAACAGTGAATTAGCCCCGAGCGAAAAATGCTAACCTTTTACTGCACCGAAATCACTCCTAGCGCCCTTATTACTTATAGCTCCACATCCAACAGATTGTTTATGATCGTAAAGACACAGAATCTAACGGTGCCCACCTCTATAAGCAATAAAACTGCAATTCCGTTATCTGCGTTATCTGCTGTGCTCCGTGCGCTTTGAAATCTAATCAAAAGTTGTTTACCTCAATTCTTTGGCGTTTCTGCATCGCCCGGCTCTTTCGTTCTTTCAGTGGTTTCTTGTGCTGAAATGTGGAGGGGACGGCTCCGGGTTTCAGCCTCCGACGTGCTATTAATGCTTCTCCACCAACAGACTTCATGATAGCAGGATCAACGTCGTATGCATAACACGCGAAGTGGTCAGAACACAACTTGCTCCATTTTGTCGGTTGCCATCCAACACGATTCACTAAAAAAATCCATTTTTTGCGGATGATTTGGTCTTTGGGAAATGCATGTAAAACTCTCCCAGATCCCGCACCGTTCGTACAACAAAAAGCTCAACAATAACCCATGTTAATTCAGTTTTCTTTTCGAAAAACATGTGACCGAGACTGCCGAGTCGGGATATTTGGTCCAGAGACTGTTTGGCAACTATTACGTCACGCGCGCGGAGGCTGCTGGGAATTACATGTCAGAAATTCAGACGGCTTTGGGTCGAGTTTTGGATCAATAAAAAGCTTTTTTTTGGGTGTATTATCTCGATTTAAATAAAATAAAAAATACAGGCAGTCTTAAAAACAACATTTCTATAAAAATGTAGCATATTTGGAAGCTTTGCATTTGATCTTTAAGTTATCATTAATATGTTAACATAATACATAAAGGCAAGAAGACAAAGGGTAATACTAACGTATACTATTTTGATCATGTTTAATATTAGCTAGAATACAGTGCACAGTTGTTGTGTAGAATGTTGTGTTTGCACTAAGGAGTGACATGGAACATGGTTCCAAAACAAAACACTGTAAAAGTGCTTTGATTAAATCAGTCCTATGTGGTTACAATGGCCTGCCTGCTGATGTTTGAATGGTGTCCGCAGTGTGGAGTTTGTCCCTCGCTACATCAAGACGTCCGGTAACGCCACAGTGGATCACCTGTCCAAATACCTGGCTGTCCGACTGGCTCTGGAGGAGCTGAGGAGAAACGCTGAGGCCAGCCCTGTGAACGTGGAGGCAGCTTCAGAGAAACAGTACACCATCTACATACCTACTGCGGCAAACCAGTTCACTGTGAGTACACACACTAGATATTTTTCCAATCTCAATATTATTATCCAGTGTTTCCCACATAATTTGATTCTATTTGTAGAATCATGCAAATGAGCCATAATCTCATTAAATATGCGCATATTTTAATACATTTCAGGAACACAATTCTGAACACTGGATATTCAGGTTCGAAATTGTGGTTTCATTTTGTAGTCATATTAGAATCTAAAGTTTTTACAGAAGGGATTTTGGTTATCTCTTTTTATCACTCCATAAATCAGAAAATACTGTCAACAGCTCTAAAATATCAATTTTCACCATGTTTTTAGGTATACAATGTTGTGTAATTCAGGCTATGAATGATATATGAACAAACCCTTCTGTAAAAGCCTTCATAATATTGCTAGGAATATAACTGGAAGGTTTGGTGTATGTACGTGCAACTGAAGTGGAAATGTCGGACTCAGAGTAGGAGAAAAAACTAATCTTGAGAAAACGACCTTTAAAGATTGCAGTGAGGCGCTAGCTAAACCCTCCTGTTCTTTGGATGACAGCTTGCTTATCGACGCACTCCGTGAAGGTATTTCATGTTCGGGGTCATTTGTTTTTTTTTAGTGCTGTCAAAATTATCGCGTTAACGGCGGTAATTAATTTTTTGAATTAATTGCGTTAAAATATTTAACGCATTTAACGCATGTGCAGAATGGCCCGCCCCATACGTGCCACCAGTGGCAGCGCCAGGGTATGGCTGGGGTAGGCTACACCCATACCAAGAAATGGCTTAGCCCCACCATGAAAAATGATGTTAAAGTAAGCTAAATAAAGTCTGCCAACTCGCGCGGAGTAAATTGCACAGACAGCAGTTAGTAAGATTGATTTCAGTAGCCACGGTTTTGAAAACTTTTGTCACGTAGTGATCGTCTTCTCAATAGAACATCTTTGATAACGGCGTGGTGTTGTTGCAGGAAGTCCCGACGGAGAATACTTTTGCTGTAGTACAGGGGTGCACATAACTGGTACGCAGGTTATGTGCGTAATCTGAAATGCGTACCGTCACTTGTGTCACAAAGCGCATTTGCGTACCGACGTACTTGTGAAGCTTTTCCAGAAGGCGGTTAGATCACCGGACGACAGAGTCGGTCTCCGTGTGCACAGACAGGGCTGCTGTTAACGTCGGTCTGTACGACGGAATTGTGCCAAAACTACGCCAACCGGCTGCGGAGGGAGACTCCCCCCCTTCACTGGAGAACTGCGCTAAAACAGCTGATCACAACGTTCACACTCTGTGGTCACGAAGTACTCCACTAGCCGCCCCCCCCCCCCTCTGTCGACTTTCCTGAAGTACTCCCCCGTTGATAGAAATCAACACGTAATGAAATAAGACCCCACGGTTTGATGATTGATAGGTGTGTGGGTTGTCTTTCATTTTGACACTCAGAAAAATGTTATAATAAACATAGATACTGTATGTTAAATGGATATATCCGCCTTCTTTTATTTATCTTTCCATTCCCACAACAATATGCATAAATAAATGGCATATTTTGGACATAGTTCGAATGGTGATTAATCATGATTAATTCATTTTTAAGCTGTGATTAATCTGATTAAAATGTTTAATCGTTTGACAGCCCTATTTTTTTGTATAACCTTGCTTCGTGCAAGTGACAATTGTTGTCGTCTTCTCTGTGAACGTTTTTTTCGCCGTTCTTTTGCCATTTTGAGATTTACATTTCTAGCGGAAAGCTAACCAGGAAGTGTTTTAGCACACCACGTGACGCATCTGAACGAATCACGTTGTCAGAAATTGACACCAGCCAATGAGATTTTGTTTCTTGGTTTAAGACCCCTTTGTGCTTTCACGATTGGTTGCTGATACAAAGGAAATGACCATATTTGGATCCGATGAGATTGTGCAGGAGAGACGGAGCTTTCCAGCGATATCTCTGTAGACATGGTGCACACAGCGGTCGCGGTACTTTATGTTACGTTAGAATGCTAACTTTTGGTGAATTTAGGAGAAATCTACAGACGCAAATAGACAAACTATAGTAAAATAAACACTTAAATGTGTATTTTGTACGTTTTCCTTCCAAAAGCCTGAAAGAAAACATGTTATAGAATCAAAATAGCACAAAATCTCAAAATGTACCAGTACTTGAAAAACGATGTTTTTGCCTGCCGTGTCTCGCCTTAATGAGTGAGACACACCAGAGTTGAGGATCTGTGGGGTTTGTATGTCGATGTATGGGAAACACTGTTATTTGTATTACTATTATTAATAATAAGGGGTGCATAGTAGGGATCGACCGATATGGCTTTTTCAAGGCCGATACCGATTATTAGTAATCAAGGAGACCGATATTTGGAACCGATATACATTTGCAGTAAAATCAGATAATCTTGGTGTCAAAATGTAGAATAACAGAAACTCCAACACAACTCTTTGAAATGCATTTAAGCATATATTATGTTTAATGAACTTTTAAACATCTTACAACTGGTTTCCTCTCTGTGCCCTTTTCTTTAGTGCAGCCATCTGCAATGAGTTAGAGAGAGACAAGAAGTGGGGCTGCAGGCTGACATGCTTAACTAACAATAATGCTTAAGTTATTATATCAAAACAATGCCAGTCTATCTAGCATAACATCCCAATAAGCTGCTAGCAACTGCAAAACACTAGTGCTAGCTAATGTTTTGCAAAGTATTAAAAGTGAGGCTATTACAGTAGACCTAACGTTAGTCTAGTAGCCTCACTTCTAATATGTTGCTAAACATTTGCTAGATACATGTTGGCTAGCTAATGAGCTTCACATATCAACCTGAAAAACTGCGAGGCTCCACTCGCAGCCCCCCCCGCACCCAACTCTGACTGACTTCCCGCGTCCCTGTGTAACTGGGAAACTGATAGAATTGGATTTTAAGATCGTGGTGTTTTTGCAACTTCAGCTGAGGGGATAGGGATGTTTATTGAACAGAGCCATACCATAGTATGGCTCTGCGCTGCTGCTTGCTTCAGTCTGTGTCTGCGTTCTTTTGCACCTGCCTGTAATCTGAGAAGGTCCCGCCTCTCTGGCTGGCTCCCGCCCGGAACATTTTCAGTGTTGATTGACACTTCAGTAATAGCCTATCAGATAGCGCTGTGGGCGGGACATTGCTCGTGTACACAGAGTGGTGACTGCAGCCAGAGAAACGGCCGCATCAGAGCCAAAGTTTTATCGGCAATTTGATAAAAAAAGGCCGATACCGATAATCGGTCAAATGCGGAATATCGGTCGACCCCTAGTGCATAGACCTTTTTCAGGGGCGGACTGGCCATCTGTAGAATGTCTCCACAGCGAGGCTCCCCCCGTTGACAATTTACTAGCATACTAGTAGTAGTATGGGGAACGCTACGTTTGTATACATAAGCACTGCACTGGTGACAGTGATATATTAGATTTGTGTTTGATGTGTTACCCTCTGTCCACAGGTTCTGAACGGGTCCTTCTCTCTGGAGCTGGTCAGTGAAAAGTACTGGAAGGTGAACAAACCCATGGAGCTGTACTTTGCTCCTACTAAAGAACACAAGTAGACTCACACACATAAAACACACTCGGCAGTTGGAAGTAAACACATGGACTCGGTTACACCTGCACACACACTAACAAGAGGACAGGAGTGTGTTTCTCTGAAGGAGATGAGGGGGTTGAGCCCTCTAAAGGACTCTTGTAAAAAGAAAACCAACTCTGTTTTATATTCTCTTTCTCTGTGTGTCTTTCTATCCTCTGTAGACGGCAGCAGATCAGTACAGCAGCAGCTCATCGCTTCTTTCACTATTTCTTAGTATCATCCAGTATTCTACTCGCAAATCCCCTCCATGCCACGTGGTTTCGGTCCAACATAAGCTAGTTGAGAAATGTTTGCTCCTCATTCCCAAACAACTCTCAGATTCCTCTAAAAGTCACCGCCAGTATCTGAAATATTGTATATATTGTCAAAATAGGGCATAAGCTTGGAAAACCTAATAATATGATTCATAAGGGCCTGTGCTTCTCAACTGAACACAGACATCCAACACCAAGCTGACATGTATGGAAGCAAAGAAAGGCCAAAATGAATACAACTTGAATGCTAAAATAAATTGTAAAATGTAATCGCTTTTGAATTATCGATTGAAATATTTAACTATCTGCATTCATGTGGTCTTGCGATTTAAAAAAACATATTTTTGAGAGTCTAGGTTCCTATTTAAGTGTTTATCCACATCAGTTTGAGTTCATTGAAATATCATAAATCCAGTCAAAGCAACCTGGTATTCAGAACTTCCCTGCACTTTTGGATCTGAATCTTTTAAATGTTGGAATATTGGGCCTATTTTCCTCCAAAAAGCAGACATTTTTTCAAAGTAAAATATTTTAATGTTCAACATAGTGGTTACATTTGATAAATGGGTTCCTTATTAAATTCAAACGACTGGCCTTTCTTTGCTTCCTCAGACCACCCTATCTCACATGGGACTTCTCTGTGTGACAGAGCACCTGTTAGAGCAGATGTTGAACACTGTAGAGCAGAGCTCTGACCAGCAGGGGTCAGAATTCCTCTCTATAGTGGAATAAAGCTACAAACATTGCCTCAGGCATTTTGTTTCTTCTTTGAGGGGGTTCTCAGAATATTTGTTGTTCTCTAAACAGTTTTTTCTTCTAAATAAAAGTAGAGGCTGGTGAAGCTTTGAATGTCTGCCATGTTTTTGTCAGAGAAGACTGTACCGCGATCGATGAGGAACACTTCCTCTTTTAGTTTGTAATAACTTCTCTCACTCTCAGCTGTTGTGTTGATCTGTTGCCCGTAGAAACAAACTGTTCTAATATCTGTGACTTGTTCTTTTATAAATGTCTTTTGTCACAAGGAAAGGAAGGATGGGGTTTGATTGGAGGCGGGTGGGGTGGGAGGATTTAATTTGTCAGCGCCATAGACAGTCAGACTATCCAAGTATTCTCATGCTCCCTGACCAGTGGATCTCCATCACTTCTATGTAGGCACCTATTGTGATTGTGAAACTGGTTTTATGTTTCCATGTAGCTAACTGAAGGGTTTAAAGCTCAACAAGAACAGAACAACCGTGAGAATTTGACATTTAAGAGTCTGAGCAAGTAAAGGTTTTGTCATTATTGGTGTGTAGATGCATGACTCATGGGAGACTGGATGACGAGCATTTTAAATGAATCCCTCAATACAGCCTGTCATCTCATTTTCACTGATGTTTGATATTTTGATGGCGGTGCAGGTCTTTTGTGGACACCTGCAGCATTTTAGGGTTAACGTGGTGTCGTCACACCTAAAGAAGTATTTCAAATTTCACTGTGAGAACCTGTATACTGCATCTTTCTGTTTGGACAATAAACCTGAATCTGTGTTGCTCAACATGGAATTCTGAGCACCTGTGTTTTTATTGTCTCTGTTTAAAATCTGCATTTTAGGTGTGATCATATCACATATTGGTATAACATCTATGATTTCTTTATAAAAGGCTGGCGTAGAGTCACTTTCTAATCCTATAATGACCTATAGGAAAAAATGTTTAATTGAATGTGGCAAAAATAGGTATAAGTATATAATACAATACAAAAAATATATATGTTCCAGTGTTGTCCTGAGTGGATTCTAACTAAATTATTTAATGCTTGCTAAATAATTTGAAGATTTAGTCAATTTCATAGGAAATTGCTTCTCTAACTCTGAACTTCTGAATAGTGCATCAATCTATTACAATTACTTTTAGTTGACCTCAAACAAAGATGTCAATCACTGATTCTGCCAGAGGCCTGTACTACGAAGCCGGATTTTCGCTTGGCGAGCTAACTTCAGGGAAAGCTCTGGGTTTCCGGTCCTACGGCGCTGGTTCACTTCTTAGCGGGCTAGTATATATATATATATATATATAGTATTGTGGTGATCACTGTAACATAATTCACTCATGGAACTACAGTTTGGGGGTATTGGTTCCGCACGGACATATGTATCAACTGTTATATTGTGTGCCCTCCTGCTTCTTTCTCTTGTCTTCCCGGGCTGAGACCCGACAACATGTCCGTTTCTGCTGCTCATTAAAGTTCCCTTTTGCACCTTCGATGCACCGCCTCCGACTCCTATCTCTCGGCACTACAGTATATTGTGGTGACACGTTATAGGACATAATTCACCGTGTACTGTGTTGCAACCCGCACCCGTTAGTGAGGGTACCGGGTTTGTGGTCATGTGGTAGCTTGACATGCAGTAGCAGTAAGTGTACTCACCTTGTCTTGATCAATGTATAATAAAGTGTGGAGTTCCATACTGAACACACCGCCTCTGACTCCCATTCATCGGTTCTACAATATATATATATATATAGTATATATACAGTGGGGCAAAAAAGTATTTAGTCAGCCACCAATTGTGCAAGTTCTCCCACTTAAAAAGATGAGAGAGGCCGGTAATTTTCATCCCAGGTACACTTCAACTATGAGAGACAGAATCCAGGAAATCACATTGTAGGATTTTTAATGAATTAATTGGTCAATTCCTCGGTAAAATAAGTATTTGGTCACCTACAAACAAACAAGATTTCTGGCTCTCACAGACCTGTAACTTCTTCTTTAAGAGCCTCCTCTGTCCTCCACTTGTTAACTGTATTAATGGAACCTGTTTGAACTCGTTATCAGTATAAAAGACACCTGTCCACAACCTCAAACAGTCACACTCCAAACTCCACTATGGCCAAGACCAAAGAGCTGTCAAAGGACACCAGAAACACAATTGTAGACCTGCACCAGGCTGGGAAGACTGAATCTGCAATAGGTAAGCAGCTTGGTGTGAAGAAATCAACTGTGGGAGCAATTATTAGAAAATGGAAGACATACAAGACCACTGATAATCTCCCTCGATCTGGGGCTCCACGCAAGATCTCACCCCGTGGGGTCAAAATGATCACAAGAAAGGTAAGCAAAAATCCCAGAACCACACGGGGGGACCTAGTCAATGACCTGCAGAGAGCTGGGACCAAAGTAACAAAGGCTACCATCAGTAACACACTACGCCGCCAGGGACTCAAATCCTGCAGTGCCAGACGTGTCCCCCTGCTTAAGCAACACATCCTCACTCCCAGGTCGGCTTATGTTGACGTTATGTCAAGTCCTGTATCGGCTTTTTCCAACGCAAGGGGGGGGGGCCTTAGCGTCCATTTTCAACGCAAGGGGGGGTCCCTTAGCGTCCATTTTCAGCTTTCCGGGATGTCCATATGCTTCTATGGACGCTCATGGAAGCACGGCATTCGTTTGTGTCGGCTGCCCTTAAAGGCAATGTGAGCGTCCATTCTCATTGGATAACGGAGAATTGTACACCCGGAAGTAAGTATTCCCCTTACTGTCGATTGAGTTTACAGTGATATCTGCACTACTCATCGACTAAAAAACACCAGATTATCCTTGTTAATTACACAACATTGATTGGTTTAAATTGTGTGCAATACTTTTGTATTTTTCCCCTTCGATTCGGAGAAACAAATATTTTTTCGGAGTAAAGGATGGCAGAAGACACTACACTACCCAGAATCCCCAGCTATCGTTTGGACTACACCATGTGCTCTGTTTGACAAACCCCGTGATAGTCCTCAAGCTCTGTGATTGGAGAGTGTGCTCCGAGGGTTACGCCGAGCCTCGAACGGCAAAATGTCCAAAACTGGATTTGAACGGGTCCACCGCGTCCCCCCCTCCCCCACCCCGTCCCCAGAACTACACATGCTGGCTATTCTGTTTCGCAACATGTTCTGTATCTATGGCACGTCTCTACTGGGAGTTGTAGTTTTAAAAGACGTTTTCGTATTTCCCATAATAAGAAGTTGCCAGTATTAAACTGTGTACATCCCTGGAGGTTTAGGGGATAGGAAACACTCACATTTAAAACATATAATTAATAAATGGGTGAAAATTGCTTGTGCCCATAGTGGGCAGCATTAATATATATACACACATGCCAGCTAAGGTCAGAAGAGCTTTATTTAACAGCTGGTCTTATGTTTGTGACCCCTGTTGTTAATTGATAACATTACATTACATTAATTGATAAGCCTGAAACATGCACTTGTCAAGGTTCAGAGGCACATTTTGCAAATATGGCAGTAGCCATCGATCAGCTTAAAATAAGATATACTTTATTGATCCCAAGTTGGAACATTTGCGTTACATCAGCATGTGTAACAGTTAAATATGCAGTGGTGTTCATTTGTAAATCATTTTGTATAATCACACAAATTCTGTGTTTTATATTCAACAATTCTGTGTTCTTTATTTATTGATTGTTCAATACCTGACAAGGCCGGAGATGAAATATCTACATACATCTTATAAGAGTATAATACATTATGTATAATATCAGTTAAAATAAGTGCTTCAACATAGTTAACATTGCTGGAGGTATGCACAAATATTGATAGATGTCTTGTAATGCACTATTGAGGAACCTGCGACCCAAGTTTTTCATTCAATGCAGAACTATAGTTGTGTAGGCCTATATGATATGTCAATAAACCTTAGAAAATCTTGAAATCTTGAAAGGGATGTGCAAAATAGTCATTATATACAGTCTTTAATTAACTATTAGTAGAGAATAACGAGTAATTAATATACTTTATAGGGATCCTATTAATATCTAATAATACAAATAATGAAATTCAATAACATGCTTTAACCACTAGGTGTCCCTTTATATCAGCTGTGCACCTTTATGGTGTAAATACAGCATATCTACCAATTGGATCAAATATAAAAGTCAGCCGAATTAGTGTTGATACTGCAACGAGACGTATTGTGTGAAAAGAAATGTAAGATGTTGTTTAACTGCTGATATATTTATGATCCACGTCACGTTTTCAGTTCCTCATATTTGTCTAGAAGTCTTATCAAGGCTCTATAAATACAGAACTACGGCAGATATGTAATATTTAATGCAGCCGAACCGTGTATTACAATGCCGTTATGTGATGACTTTCAAAGAGAAAATCAAGCACACTCGGAATAATGTATTTTTTTTTTTTTTTTAAATGTTTTCTGTCTGTTTCCGGTATTTGTTAATGACGATGTGCTCTGAGATGTGAGACTGGAATTGCACAGGGGAAAATAACGTATCTTTAGATGCGGAGTTTGTTAAACTAATACGTTTGCGCTGTGGACCAACACTATACATTGACGGGGAAGGGGGTAGCAATAAAGATAACACCATTAAACAGTTACACAACATAACAGAATTAATATCGATAGCAGCGTCCCTAGCAACCACCTTGGTAACAATGAAAACTTCCTGAAGTAATCTTCGTAATAACTAGCAAACTAAAGATCATGTACATCCACTGCACACATAATCTGAAATAACAACTCATATTTCTCGCATCAAATGACATCAAAACGCATTTTAATGGCCAAACTAACTTTAAAATAGGCATTTTCCATCGAGAATAAAACGAAGTTCGGCCATGTTTTTTTTTCTGCAGGGAGACATTTCAAGATCACGTGACGTCAAACAGAGCACATGGTGTAGTCCAAACGATAGCTGGGGATTCTGGGTAGTGTAGTGTCTTCTGCCATCCTTTACTCCGAAAAAATATTTGTTTCTCCGAATCGAAGGGGAAAAATACAAAAGCATTGCACACAATTTAAACCAATCAATGTTGTGTAATTAACAAGGATAATCTTGTGTTTTTTAGTCGATGAGTAGTGCAGATATCACTGTAAACTCAATCGACAGTAAGGGGAATACTTACTTCCGGGTGTACAATTCTCCGTTATCCAATGAGAATGGACGCTCACATTGCCTTTAAGGGCAGCCGACACAAACGAATGCCGTGCTTCCATGAGCGTCCATAGAAGCATATGGACATCCCGGAAAGCTGAAAATGGACGCTAAGGGCCCCCCTCTTGCGTTGAAAATGGACGCTAAGGCCCTCCCCCTTGCGTTGGAAAAAGCCGACACAGGACTTGACATAACGTCAACATAGGCCGACCTGGGAGTGAGGATGTGTTGGCTTAAGCCAGTACATGTCCAGGCCCGTCTGAAGTTTGCTAGAGAGCATTTAGATGATCCAGAAGAGGATTGGGAGAATGTCATATGGTCAGATGAAACCAAAATAGAACTTTTTGGTAAAAACTCAACTAGACGTGTTTGGAGGAGAAATAATGCTGAGTTGCATCCAAAGAACACCATACCTACTGTGAAACATGGGGGTGGAAACATCATGCTTTGGGGCTGTTTGTCTGCAAAGGGACCAGGACGACTGATCCGTGTAAAGGAAAGAATGAATGGGGCCATGTATCGTGAGATTTTGAGTGACAACCTCCTTCCATCAGCAAGGGCATTGAAGATGAAACGTGGCTGGGTCTTTCAGCATGACAATGATCCCAAACAC